CTCCCCCCCCCCCGCCCACCCTCGGGGCGCCGCGGTTTTGGCCGAGCGGCGCTCCGCCCGCGAGCCCCTCACCAGAGCGCGATGCGGTCCTTGGGGTGTCGCAGCCTCTCCAGGCAGCCCAGCGCCGCCGGCAGCGAGTGCGCCGCGTTGCGGGCGAGCAGCGCCAGCAGGACGCGGGGAGGCCGCAGCGGGGACTCGGGCACCCAGCGCTCCTCCGGGAAGTAAGCGCCCGACCGGCGGGCGCTCCACGCCGCCAGCGCCAGCAGGCAGAGGCAGAGCCACCGGGGCTTCATAGCCGCTGCCACCGCCACTCCCGCCTCTTCCTCGTCTGCTCTCCGACAGGAAGCCCGGCCTTAAAGGGCAGGGGAGAGACTCCTCCCAATCCTGCCCTCCGACAGAAACGTGGAAGGAAAAGGCTTTGCCGAGGGCGGTGGGCAGTTCCTTTAAGGAGGAGTTTTGCTCTCCCCGAGGCAACCCTGCAGGTTCCAGGTCTCTCGCCCTTCCCTTGGCTCGTTTCTGCAAAACGAGCCGTGAAAACTTTTTTGAACTTATTTAAATAAAGGCTTCCCAAGAAGAGCCCTGTTGCATCTGTCCTTACCCGGCGCTTTGTTTCTCAGGATGGCCTCTGGGGTGCTCTCAAGTAGGAGATGGAGAGAGGCCTCTCCCACCCTTCTTTCCTGCAGCGGGTTGGTATTTGAGGGCGTGTTGCCCCCAGCCCATTCAGGGCTCATCTGCAGGTCCTGCTTGCCCTGGAAGGAGGGTGGCCCACTCACAATGCCTCAAGGACGGACAGGCACAACGTAGTCCTCAACTTACCCCCGCCCGTCATGATGTGTTCATTATGTTGTTCATTTGATCACTTCAGTCTGGGCTGTCCATCTGATTTAATGTTTTAGCTGTTTTTATCTTTTTTTACCCCACCCAGAGTCCCTTGGAGTTGGGCGGCCAATGAAGATGAGGATGGCAACCTCATCCTGTTTGTCTTGCTCCACGTTAACAACTGTCTTTTCAAAAGTCTGCTGGCGCAATGGTGCTCTGCAGCCTGCCTGCTACATTTCATTTCCTTGTAGGGCTAGGGTGTGCTTCGTACCCCTTCCCCTCTGGCCACTATGCTCCGCAAACGTTTCATCCTGGGCTTCTTGACCAGTGAAATGATAGACTTTTTCTTTTTAACAAGTCTGTAGCGGAACCTGGAAAACTGAAACCTGAAAAGGCTTTTAAATAAAAAAGGTTCACTCAGGGTACAATGAAAGGGTAGAGCTTTTTTCCTCCCACCCCCCCTTTTTTTTAACCAGTTAAAGTTGACAAGAGTTCTGCCAGTTTCCCTTTCTAACCCAAGAAACTGTGGGTAAAACTCTGGTGTTTTCTTTACTTTCTTTCTTTCCTTCTTTCTTTTTCATTTTATTATCCATCACCATTTCATTATCCATCATTTCATTTCATTATCCATCACCAATGGATGCACCAAAGAAGAAATATTTCTTCTTGGCTATAAAATCTTTTAATTAAACATTTTTCAATTTCCTGCAACATCTGTCTTGTTAGAAACTCAGCTACACATTTCTTGGAATTATTTGATGACAGAAAGTGCAGCTGCAACCAACATCCCATAATAAACCCCACCCCGGTTAACCAGGTAGGTGGCAAAGCCATCAAATAAGATGTTATGAGCAAAACAAAATCAGTCAATCCATTTGAACATCTGGAGTTGCGTCAGAACAAATCTGAACTCCAAACACATTTTCTTCTGGTACATTTGTAACAATTTTCTTACTCAGTCCCTAGAACAACAATTTCCTAGTTACACAAATGTTTAGTCCAGTGCCTGTTTTTTTACAGTTTAAAAACTAAAAAATACTTTGACATATAGCCAACTATTGAATTTAGTAACTTACACCCAAGTAACTGTGCATAGGGCAGCCAATGCAGAGCAAACCTACCCAAATGTATTCAAAAGTGTGTTCCATACAGTTCAGTGAAATTTCATCTTCAATAAATATGTTTAGGATTGCAATCTTATTTCCAACTATATAATTATTTGAAAGCATATCCACATCTTAGCATAATTAGTTACACATCACAACGCACAATTGGAATTGAATTGGGATTGGGAAGGACACAGGCATTTAGCAGGTGAAAATTCCTGTCTTTTTAACATGGAGATACAATAAAAGATAGGGGGGAGAACTCACAGTTGCCTATGGCCTGTAGGCTCATCTCATCAGCATTCAGTCCCACCAGAAAAAAAACTACTCATACTCTTTAATATCAATCACTGGGAAAATATCAGGAAAGATGGAAATGGAACTTGTCAGTCATGCAAATGCATCAGTGCATATACATTGTGAGGGACATAATAGAGGCATCCTGAAGAAACATGGGGCATCGCCTTCGCCATCCTTGAGGAAGTTTTCAGCCTCCCAATGTGATGTAACAGAACTGACAATCAGCTGCTTTCTCCTGTACCAGATACACTGGATTACAACTTGCAGAATTGGCATCATTTGAGTATGGATGTCATGCAGATGAATAAACTTATACGAATTGTGCTGTTGTGTGTGATGAAGCAAATTATGTAATATCTGTCATTTGAGTAATGACACTATTAGGCAAATGATGTAAATCGCAGCAAAAATGCTGTCCCTTGCATGTAAAGTCTGTGGCACTGAGGTTCAGTAAGTCATGGTTTCAATGTACTCTTAAAGAGTGTATAACGTAGCTTCTGTAAATTATTGCAAAGGCAGTGGTGTTAAGTTGCAGAAAGCATTTCCTAAGAGTAAAGAACGGATGCATCTCTCCTGCAATTTGCTGTAAAGTAAAAGGCAGAAGAGCAAAGCAGCCCCAGAAGGAGATGGAAGAAGGAACACACTTCCAGGCCAGCCCTACCATTAGGCAGAACAGAGTAACTGACTTACTGTAGCTGGCAGATGCTGGAAGTGATAGACATCTCCCCTCATTCTCCCTGCTCTGTGCCCCCAATCAACTATGTAGTCCTGTTACTAATGTTGGAATGAAATTTAACTGGCCATGTGGTTCGGATGCATTTATGTATGTGAAATTATGGGGAGAGTATTATCTGCCTCTGCTTTGGAGAGCAAAATGTCTTGGGCTTAGCTCTATGAAAACTTCTTGTTTTGATCAAAAAGGATTGTTTGATGGGGGGCGGAGCTTCGTGTATTTAACGTATAATCTGTTCTGAGTTACTGTTCTGTTCATAGTTGGACAATTCACCCCCTGCATTTGACAAAAAACATATTTTGAAAAATTGATGCCACCTTATAAAATAACTATGATTTTATGTTCAACCAAAAGAACCAACCGATTCTATTTTTGAATCGACATGAGGCTACTGCAGGATGAAAGATTATAGCAAGCAGAGGAGAAGCTTTAGCAATGTTTATGGGCGGGAAAGGCAGTGTAAGTTCAGATAAGGCCAGTAATCCTTGGTGAGAGACAAAAGGTAAGAACACAAGGAGGTCCCTGTTTCCTTCTGCAAAATGCTGGACCATCTGAGCTTGTGCGCTTTGCACTTCTAATTAGAAATCAACCCTCTTCCAAAGACATTGTTTCCAGGAAGATTTTGGCTCAGTGGCTTTCTTTCTTTTTCTAACCAGTTAAGTCCTAGCTGAATTCATTCTTGGCATCATATTATGGTTGAACAAAAATATGTTGAGGTCAGTTCCCAAATACAAGGAATAAGTTAGTAAATCTATAGCTGGACTTCAGATAATTCTGACTTGCCCATTTAGCAATATTTTTATGCTGATTTTTAACCATAATGATTCTTGCACTGTAATCAAATCAGATTTATAGATAGACAATATTGGCATGCTAATTATGGATGGCTTAGTTTTTTGGCATAGACTAGCCTTCTCCAGCGTGAGGCCCTTCAGCTACATTAGAGAAGAACATGCCTTGGCACAGGAGAAGGCGTTTCCTTAACTTCTTCCTGCTGGAGGAAAAACAGTCCTGAAGCAAAATAAATGAATCTCTTTCTTAAGTAATCTGTTTGGGGAATAGGTATCAAAGAAACTTTTGCCGATGCACAACTACTGTGGATCCTACTGCTGCTCTTCCTCCACTGAAGGAACAAAGAAGGTCCTTGATATCCTTCAGGATGCTGTTTCCAATAGTTTTGCTCACTCTGGGCAAATGGCATCATTGTCACCTCATTCCCACTGCTACCATTTAACTTGGCACCCTCCAGATGGGTTCATTTGGAAACCGGTTGGATCTCTGGGACTTTCACATCCAGAGGGGAGCAGGTTGGAGAAGGCTGATACAGGTGGTTCCTGAGGAAGAAGAACCAAAGAGCAACTGGCCTCAGCCAAACCAACTGAAGGAAGCTTACTGTCTTTTTCTGATGCAGTCAAATGTTGATGGATATTGAGAGAGATCGGTACCATCACAATGGAGAGGACTGTTCACAGCTCAGGGGAAAAACATGCTTTGCATGGACACATTGCTGAGGTGAGTTTCAGTCTCCAGTGAGATTGAGACTTTGGAGAGACGCCAAGTTGGTCCAGCAGTTGGAACATAGTGATAGCCTCATATTTTCCTACTCAACAGAGGCTCACATAATTGAATCCTGCACCTTATAAAAACAAGTATCCCTAACTAGATATCAGCACTAGAAGGGAATCTAGTGCTCTCCTGTACATAAACATTTTCTTTATTTAAATGTCCCCATCACTATCATCAAACAGCATTTTATTCCAGGAGCTCCCAGCTACAGTTTCGGAAGCAAGTTAACCCACATGCAAGTTTGGCACCTTCTTGGCCATTTGTAAGAAGCGGGCTCTAGACTTGCAATTAGAAATGTCATCCTTCCAAATTGACACACGATGCCATGATGTACAAATACATTTTAATAATGGTGTGCCACGAGTCAAAAATCACAGAAGAAGACACCTGGCTGGCTTTCCTGAAAAAGAAAAGCTTTTATACACTAACCATTTAAACGGATATAATTTTGTGGTTTTCACAGAAGTAAACCCTAAACATGCACCTTTGTAATTTTTCAGCTTTTATGAACGTGCCAAAGCTGTTGGTACCAGATGATTCATAATTGTATGCTGGGTGAGAGAAGATGATTATTTTCTACAACTGCCTGAGGCCAAAGTCCAACATCTGCCAGCTAACACTCATACTTCCTTTTAGTGTATCTTTTCTATGCCTAGGATAACTTCAGCAACTCAACCTTCACATTCCTTAATATTATGATGATGATGACGATGATGATGAAGAAAGTATATCCCATTTTTAAAAACAGAACCCAAGAGCCCAATACAAGAAATAAACAGTGAAAAGCAATTTACCAGCA